GCGCTAATCGAGCGCTACTACAATTCATTTGAGGAACTACAAACGCAGCTGGGGATTTTAGATGACACCGAGCTGGATGAAGAACATCGCCTGACCATGGATGAGAGCTATTGTAGGGTTAAGGCACTGTACAGTGAAAGGCTATCGTTTTTACGAACCAACTCATCCGGAATGCAGCTGAGTAGCACCCACATCACACAACAACACAACACATCTTCATCGCGACAGAGAATAAATTTGCCGAATTTAAAACTATCGACGTTCAATGGCTGCTACCGCGAGTGGCTGGATTTTTACAATATCTTTTTGGTCCTCGTCGACAAAAATCCAGACCTCTCGGATATTGAAAAATTTCAATATCTGCGCTCAAGCCTTTCAGGGTGCGCAGCTACCCTCATACAATCATTAGAGGTGACCAACGCAAATTATAAGAAGGCGCTGCAGCTACTTGAATCCCGTTTCGACCATAAGCGGTACATATTCCAGTCGCATCTTCAGCACATCTTCGACACACAACGCATCACCGCACCCACCGTTGCTAATCTTCGTAGCTTCGTCGACGTCATAAATGCAAACATGCGTGCCATGCAATCGATGGCAACATCCACACAAATTGGTAACGGGCTACTGCTTCACTTGGTCGTTTCAAAGCTAGACCATGAAACGCAAGTGAAATGGGAAGAAGAAGTGGCTGCGAAGTGGGACCGACCATCACACCAGGTATCCCTCATGCTGCCAGCATGGGAAGATCTTGCAGCGTTCCTCGAACGTCGTTGCCAACTTATCGATATCATCGATCACAGCGCTACTCCAACCAAATCGTCGCATCGGTCACCAGAACCAACATCATCGTCGCAATCAAAGTCTCTTCAATCACCAAAGCAAGTATCGTTCATCACCACCAATAAACCAAAATGAAATTTGTGTGAAGGCTCTATCAGTCATAATGCCTTCAACTGTTCCGTCTTCATGAAGCTGACACCAGTACAACGCTACGACGTAGCAAAGAAGAAGAGTCTGGGCTTAAACTGTTTGGGTCCGAATCATTCGTCGAAAGACTGTCCGTCCACGCATAGATGTCAAGTTTGTCGGGCGAGTCATCACACTCTACTGCACCGTTCGCAACCAACCACAACCAATCCACAATCATCGTCTTCGCCACTGACACCGTCCAACACCATGAAGTCAACTTCGACACCAACAGCGCTTCAGGTTTGTGACAGCAACCAAGAGGTTCTACTTGCGACTGCCGTGATTCAGCTTCGTAGTCAATCGGGTACAACGATTTTCGCTCGTGCACTGCTTGATTCCGCCTCGCAGTTGCATTTCATAACTGAGCGCTTGGCTCAGCTACTTCGTGTACATCGCAAAAAGGTACCACTGGAAATCAGTGGCATAGGATTATGCGGATCAAGGTCGCAGTTCCTATGCAAGGTGGAGATACGCTCTCAACACACAGCATATTCATCTACCATAGATGCGGTCATCATGAACGCAATAACGACAAGCCAACCGCGCACACCACTGAACACCATCGCATGGAACATACCAAAGAACATCAACTTGGCTGACGATAATTTCAACAAGCCAGGCCCAGTTGATCTTCTGCTTGGAGCGAGCATTTTTTATGACTTGCTGTTGATTGGACAGATCAAGTTGGGCGACAATCTGCCTGTCCTTCAAAAAACTAAGGTTGGGTGGGTGGTCGCTGGAGCTGTCACAATCCCACCACTTATATCTTCGGCGCCATTGGTCGCATCATACACCACCTCAGTAGGCACCGACTGCATACTATCTAACGCATGGCCATCGCAAATCTCCTTTGATTCGAAGGTAACGGAAGCTTCGTCACTCACCTTGGAACCGTCACTTGATCAGATTTTGGAAAGGTTTTGGCTTATCGAACACAATCCACATCAAACACCACCAAGTCTAACTGCTGATGAAATTGAGTGCGAAAAATTCTTCGCAGAGACGACAAAGAGATGCCCTAACACCAATAAGTTCATCGTTCGTTTGCCTTTTAAGGAATCACCACAGTCATTGGGCAGCTCGTATGATATAGCACAAAAACGACTAGTGTCCATCGAAATCAAACTTCGTCGCAACAAATGTCTCGAGCGAGACTACTATTCCTTCATGAAAGAATACATCGCGCTTCATCACATGATTCGCATACCTCACCCTGGTAGCTTCGTAAACTACATACCACACCATGCAGTCGCGAAGTTGGATAGCAGCACCACCAAACTTCGCGTCGTGTTCGATGCGTCGTGTCGTACATCTAACGGCAAATCACTCAACGACATTCTTCGAGTTGGACCTACAGTGCAAGATGATTTGTTTTCAATTCTCCTTAGATTCAGAAGGCATGTCTTTGTGCTGATGGCTGACGTCGCAAAGATGTATAGACAAATCATCGTGGACAAGCAAGATGCACAATGGCAATGCATTTTGTGGCGCGATGAGATAACCGACCGCATAATCACATACCAGTTACAAACAGTGACCTAAGGTACGGCATGTGCGCCCTACTTGGCCACAAAGTGTTTGCAGCAGCTGGCATGCGAACACATGTCATCTCATCCAATCGGCGCTTACGCCGTCCATAACGACTTTTATGTAGACAACCTGATGACGGGTGCCTCCACTATTGAAGAAGTTGTCGAAATTAAGAAGCAAGTCATCGAGGTGCTGAACAATGGGGGATTTCCATTGAGGAAGTTCTCATCAAACGATACACGCATAATCGCAGACGTACCAGAAGCAGATCGTGAAGACGTCATACAGCTTGATGACATTGACTACATAAAGGCACTGGGCCTTATGTGGTCCCCATCGCAAGATAGTGTTTTGTTTCGCTACACACCACCACCACCATCATCGAAAGTGAGTAAGAGAACCATTCTCTCTCACATTGCTAGATTCTTCGACCCGCTGGGATTACTCAACCCACTCATTGTCACCTGCAAGGTTTTATTGCAGCAATTATGGAAGCTTCATTTGAATTGGGACGAAAGTGTACCTCCTTGCGTATACACACAATGGGAGTCATTCTGCGCAAAACTGGCACTTCTCGAAATTCTTCGAGTCCCAAGGTTAGTAGCTTTCGACTGTGATTCTAATATCCATGCCTTTGCAGATGCAAGTACAAAGGCATATGGCGCATCAATCTATTTAGCAACGAAATCTAGTTCATCACTTTTGTGTGCTAAGTCTCGCGTCGCACCTACGAAGGAAGTTAGTTTGCCTCGCTTGGAGCTGTGTGCTGCATTACTACTGGCTGAATTACTTGAGTCAGTGTCCAAAAACCTTCGTCACGATTTAAACAACGTTCACTGTTGGACAGATTCGATGATCACGCTTGCCTGGATAAAGGGTGAACCATCACGGTGGTCAACATTCGTCAGCAACCGAGTAACCAAAATTCAGTTGCTCACCAAGCAATACCAGTAGCACCACATCCCCAGCGAGGTGAATCCAGCAGACATACTGTCGCGTGGAGCAAAGGTTGACCAGCTCATTGGCAACAAACTTTGGTTTCACGGTCCAAATTTTCTCACACTTGAAGCTAACCATTGGCCTTCACCATCGCTCATCAACATCGAAATCCCAGAACATCGTCGGCAGCACATCACCTTAATAACAAACCCGACAACAGACACAGCGAGCACAAATTCACCACCAACTACAAAAAACTCATTCGAATTTTTTGTTATGTGCGGCGCTTTATAGACGGAGCTCGCAAAATTCACCACCACAGCCAACAAGATCACATCACCGCATCGGAAATGAACGATTCTCTCCTCACC